AAAGTACAAAAATGTGATTTAAGAGCAAGATTAGAACTTGGAGAGCATTCCGACCTAAGAGAACTGGCTTCATAGAAAATTGCCAAAACTCAAGCCTGCCTCCCATTCCCAGCCCCCACCAGTTTCCACTGCACTCTGGAGCTGATTTGCAGAACCTGATACTGAATCTGGCAGAGGCTGACTTGGGTCAAAGCAAGGCCCTACTTTTCCTCAGCTCATCCCAGATGAAAGCCTGACACCTCAGGAGGCCATGGGGTTCCCAGACCACTTTCCCTTTCACACTCCTAAGGTTTCTTCCTCTTATTCCTAAGAGAAGTTCTCATGGCTAGTAATAAAACTTGGCTCTGATTTAACCCTTGCACTTATCAGAGTATCTCAAAGAAGAGAGCTTTGAAGAGAAACGAGGTCCAGACACCAGTTCATAGTTCCATTCTTGCAGGTCATTGCTCTTTAGGACAACAAAGACGAGAGATCTTGGAGCACAGGATCAGTGATGTGGTACCAGACTCACTTGTTTTAGGTGGCTGTGTTAGTGATGGGAAGAAGGCTTGGCTATGATGAGTATTTTTCTTCTTCATTGCCTTAAAAATAATTTTTGCCTTCTCAAAAAAACGTCTTAGTGTGGTGAAATAATTAGTACATGGATATATGTATCAATATGTGTGTCAATAAAAGCAAAAGATAAACCCCTAGGACTACTAAGCCATGGAGTTTTCTTCCTAAGAAAGAGAAAATGATGGTTTCACTGTTCTAAATTGAGATGGCTCAGCAGTTAGGAGCATTTGTTTCTCTTCCAGAGAACTGGAATTCAGTTCCCAGAACTCATGTTGGGTAACTAGCTTACAACCACCAATAATTCTAGGTCCAAGGGGATCTGGCAAACGCTTCTGACCTCAAGGGCATACACACAGATGCAGACACAAAAATAGGCATAAACACAGGCACACACACACAAACACATACACACACACACATAAACATACAGAGACACATATAGACACACACACATAGGCACACACACACATTCACAGGCATACACACAGAATTTCATGCAAACAAAATCACACACAAATAAATACTACATCTTTTAAAGTGTATAAGCTATAAGTTTTCATGACAAGAAAAGATTCATTTTGGGATCTTGACACACGTAAACCATAAAACTTCTCCCACAGGCACAACAGTTTTCCTAGAATCCATTGCAAAGGAGTAGGTACAAAGTCATTAGTAGCTGTGTTTGTTAATTGTCACAGTGAATGAAACCCACTCTTTGCTCAGTTTCTTGCAGCTGTGATAACAGACACCCAGAGAGGCCAGCCTGGCAGGGGCACATTCCTGACCACGATGGGGCTCAGACAGGTCCTTAACTAAGGGAGACCGGGGGTTGGAGCTACATCAGGCGTTTCAACGAGAGTTTCTGCCGTGGAAGAGGATAATATGAAACTGTTTCTCTGTGAAGCTGGCATGCAGGGATGTGGGGAGTCTGAGGAAATGTACTGCAGATTGGAAAACTTGATGCTGAGGATCAATGTGGAATCTGAAGGATACCTAACCCAATAACCCTAATCTTAAAGTAAAGCAGAAAGTGCTGTCTCAGGTCCTGCATCTGTCCAAGCTGCCTAATAGGCCCCAGATCTCATTCTCTTTACTCTTTTGGTAAAAATCAAATGTTGAGCAAGCTGCAAAGAGCCTTTTACCCTTGGTAGCCCTGGCCTAGTGCCCTAGGCATCCCTCCTTTGTGGCCCTCAGGCACCTGTGATGGACTCTGGAGGCCCCAGGCCCTTTTCACTACTGGCTTTAACATACACAGGACTCACAGCAGTGCCTCAGGGGGATAGCCTCCATCAACAGTGTGTATGTATTCCCATAGACCTTTGTAAACCTATAGACCTATATCCTCTCTGCCTGGAGAGCACACTCTACATACTGTTGACTCTGAGTCTGTTTTCACTTAGGCATTTTATAATGCATCAGAATCTGCCCCCTTTTTGTAAATCTATGAAGTATCGAGTGTTAATTGTGAATGTAGCTTATTTTCATATTCGCTTATTAACAGAAATGTTGCCTGATCCCAATTCTTCACAGCTGCAGACAATGGCAGATGTGTATGCAATGGGATGCTAGTATTTCCGATTTCTCCTCATTCAAGAATTGTTAAACACCCTTAACTGGCCCATGACCCTAATTCTACCCCACCTCACGTTTGCCTACAGTTTTGCCGATCCCCTCCTGTGCCTGTGGTATATTTTCTACACCTGCCACTCAGCCTGCATAGAAGCTTGCTTTCTCAGGACCCGTTCGGTTTTCCGAAGTTACTCCCAGGCTCTGCCAGCTTTATTTCCTGGGTGTTGTCTTCTCACACCCCTCTGCCTGAGCTCTGCTCATCCAAATGCGACACTAATGTCACCAGGGCTTCCCAGGACCCAGAGAAGCTGTCTGAAATCCAGTCCAGGGCGGAGAGCACAGGAACGCCTTCTTCATGTGTCCGCCTTATCTCCTCTTGGTCCATTTCTTAGGCCAGGCAGCTATCTCGGTCTTACTGTTCACCAAACGTAGACATGAGGTGCCATCCAATTCTGTGACTAATAACCCTTCACATCATCCGTTGTCTTGCTACATGTGGGCAACCATGACAGTTTATTCATCCATTTCTGAATATTGTTTCCTGGACAATGTGCATACAGGAGACTTTTTCCTTTGCCTCCACAGCCTAGCCCTGTTTTTTTTGTTGTTGTTGTTGTTTGTTTGTTTTCTTTAGAGCAATCCCTATAGCAAATATTATCCTAGGTTATCTCATTTTCTTTCTTTATTTTCACTTTCTTTTTCTAACAGTCTTTGAGATGAGATCGTTATTTTTTCATTTTAAAATGAAAATTACAAAGTTGAGTTGTATTTTAGTCAGTTTTATTTTATTTTATTTTGCTACTGTAACAAGCACCTGTCATAATCAACTTGTAAGAGGAGAGATTCATATTGCTCCCACTTTTAGAGACTTGAGGTTTGTGATTGGTTTAGGGCTATGGTAGCACATCATGGCGGGAATGCATGGGGGAATTAAAGTCATAATATTCACACAAAACATAGACAAATAGGAAGTGTATTAGTTACTTTTCTATTGTGTGATAAAAACTGCCACCCAAAGCAACTTAGGGAGGATCGGGTTTATTTGGCTTCTGTATCCCAGTCACAGTCCACTGAAGGAAGCAAAGGCGGGAACTTGAAGGCAAGAAGCAGGAACTTGAAGGAGAAGCAACTTTCTCAGCCTGCTTTCTTACGTACCCTGGGACCACCTGCCCAAGGATGGCACGGTTCACAGAGGGCTGGACACTTTCACATCAATCATCCGTCAAGAAAATGTCCCACAGGCCTGCCTATAGACCAGTCTGATGGAGGCATTGTCTTAGCTGAGAGTCCCTCCTCTCTGATGACTCTACCTTGTATCAAGTTGACAAAGCCTAACCAGCATAGGCAGGAACAAGAGTCACAATCACCTTTCCAGGATGCATCCCAAGTGGTCTCCCACTAGACCCCTCTCCTTTAAATGTCTACCATTTCCCAGTAACAGCAGAGGCTGGGGACCAAACCCCAACGCGTGGCCTGCAGCAGGTGTTCTGCACCTGTGTAGCATGACTCTTAAAGATGCAGAACCTAAGTAATCCAGCTGCAATACGGTGATGGTTTCTACCCAGCTCAGACTGACAGCAAAACCACGCCCTTCACTACCAAACCCACTGTCAAGGAGACTTGAACTTGCTGACTCTTTTTCCATTCTTACATTCCATGGTTCATTGAAAAACAAGTTTTGGCATCTAGTAGTAATTTCTTTTCTATTTTTTTTTCGAGACAGGGTTTCTCTGTATTGCTTTGGAGGTTGTTCTAGAACTCGCTCTGTAGACAGGCTGGCCTCAAACTCACAGAGATCTGCCTGCCTCTGCCTCCAGAGTGCTGGGATTAAAGGTGTGAGCCACCAATGAATGCCAGGCTATAGTAGTAATTTCTAAAACCAACAAAACAGCATAATTAATTTCTAAAACCCATGCATGCTTGTTATTTAAGGGGAATAGATAAAAGACAGAGAGGACCCTGGTGAATGTTTTAAAAGGATGTCAAGAGAATTCTCAAAGATCTTTGAGACCAACAAGAAGCCCTTCTGCTCTAGTTTAAATGCTATTGTGACAAAACCCCCAAAAGTGTCAGTACCTGGTTTCCTTCCCAGGGCTTGATCGTGTCTGTTTTTCTGTAATATGCATCGGTTTCTCTTACCTTGTTACCTTCAGAACTATTTCCTGCTTGTTAACCATTATCAGACTCGTTCTAGTCATGTGTGAAGCACAAACTAGGAAGAGAAAGAAAATAATTCTGTGATAACAGGGTAAGAATCTGAAGACAGGAATAATTAAAGAGGATGGACTAAGGAACATTAGTAAGAAAGCTTTTTGCCAAGATGAACCGAAAAGGCAAAAGCCAGAAACAAGAGAATGTCCTTCAGAAAGAAGAAAGGACGCGAAGACAAAGGAATTGGAAGTTTAGCTGCTCTCGGAAGCCAGGGGAGGTGGGGGAGGAAGTCAAAGTCCCAGCCAAAAGCCGGAGGGCATTTGGGTGTGAAAATTACCATTAGTGTGGTTGGTCGGCCATCAGCCATCACTTGGGAAGCACCTTCTAGACTGGACCTGTAGAGTATGAGCCTCGGATTATGAATTCAAAGAAGGATGCCCAAGCATCAATCTGCTGATGGTTTATTTATTGATGCTGTTACCTCAAGTCAGTATCAAGACGTATCAAGTGCTATCTCAGTGCTAAGTGGATGTTGAAACAAAGAGGTCAGAAATTGAAAATTCAACAACAGAAATTTGAGTAGTATCTTGGGAAAACAAAAGTACTCCATATAATTTAATAGACTGAAAATGATTTTTAAAAAGAACTTATAAATAACCTTTATCATAAATAGTGTTTATTTAATTTTTCACTACATTTTTGTATCACTTTTTTTTTCTTTCCAGGAGTCTTGCAAACAACAATCTGCAGACACTCCCAAAAGATATTTTCAAAGGCCTGGATTCTTTAACAAATGTGTAAGAGGACCTAAGAAATCACTGGCTAACTAATGTGAAATGATTAGTGAGACCTGATATTGATGATTAGTGTTTTTAATTGGCTTTAAAATTAGAGTGTTTTAATTGACTTCACTCTTAAATCTACATAGATTAAATGTTTGGATTCTTTTATGATTTAGCATAGGAAATTCTGAATACACAGTACTGCATTATTTTGACAAAGTGTGTGCCTGTCCATGAGGATGAGTGGGGGAACCTGGAAAGGAGAGACCGCCACAAAAATCTCAAGATCTCTTTTTTCTCATGAGGTCCAGGAAGTAGGGCTACAAAGAAAAAACATAAAGGAGTCTGGGAAACTGACAGAGTAAGATGAAAGGTTACACCCATGGGTTGGTCAGGCAACAGAAACAGAGCAGGAAGTGGGGGAAGGGAGGAGAGTTTGCCTTTTCTCTCATTAGCCTGAACAACAACTCTAGGCTTAATCCCCAGGAATTTGGCTTAAGCCCCAGGAAGGGAATGAACTTAATTACTTTTGACCCCTTTTCAAACAAAAGAGCTTTCAAACTTTGACTTTTAAGCTTCGGAGTGAAAGATCTTCGCAAGGAATTTGTATATTTTTGTGGTAAGCAAAGCAAGTTCTATATGCTCAACCCTCCCCAAAGCAATTTAGTCTCCTTAAATTTTCCAGAACATTAGCAGGGCATTTAAATGTCATAAAGTAGAATAAAGGAACAAATGAAAAGATGTATGGGAACTTTTTTTTTTACTATCACTTACTTTGCTATTAAATATATAGAAAGAAAATTAAATATAAATGTGTCATGAGACTTAAATTACTTTTTCATTCAGATTTTGATGGAACCAAGAGAGAAAGTAAATGTAATAACACACACAGAGAATATTGATCTATATTAATATCTACAAAACAGCTTTCTCTAATAACAACAAAAAACCCAAGTTAAGAATTTCCTCCTAAGTCTAGAATTTAACTTCAAATCAAAAAGCTGATAAAATCCTCTTTGTTCTTTGCAGTTGTAACCAACTCTTCCATCACGCCTACTTTTCCAATTACTGAAAACTGATTCATTTGAGCAAGTGTCCAAATCAAGAACCTTCCTTGAGAACCCCACAAATATCTGCTCTGATTTACAATAGCCAGAAGGGCTGGCACTCTTGGGATAAGGTCACTTCTAGGAATGTTTTGGAAGTTAGATAATGCCCCATGGTTTGCCTAGTGTATAGTTAGTTCATCCTGGGGCCTGTATCTCATTCTGTGTCAGTGTAACACTTAAAATCTGGCTCAGTCTCCCAGGGAATCCCAGAATGAGTTCAACCCAAATCAAGGATTATTTTAGAAAATACAAGGATTCATGATAACTTATCTTTTAGTGGATTTGTTATGATTTTTTAATGAACATATACTTTACCAAATATTTAAATACTCACACATTTAAAATTATTTATGTGCTGTGTGAAGAATGGGCAGCATGTATCTTATGAATTCTGTGTGACCAGAAAAGAAATGGAAGATCTTCGCAGAGTAAATAAAGAATTGGTGAGTCAGAACCATGTGTGGAAATTTAAACTCGTTTAAATGCTGCCACACAGTTTATTACAGGCATGGGTTGTTGTAGGTAGTATGTCTGCATTAACTCGACTATGGCAAAGTCATTTCTTATTAAAGTGGAATTTGTAGACCACAGAATTGGGTCAAGATTAACTATGTCTATGAAGAAGAAAAGCCAGTGGCTCACTGGATTTAATTAAATATCATACAGCAATCACCACACTCTGTCTTCTAGATCGAATAACTTAGCCACTGGTCGCTGATAGCCACGGGTCCCTAGAGTGCACAGCTAATACAAATGAGGCACCAAGCTTTCAGTTTTACATTTATTTGTCTATTTATTTATTTTGGTCCTAGGTATTGAGCCTGACCTTTTAATAAGCTAAACATGCACAGATACACTCAGGGCCATTACTTTTTTTTAAAGATTTAAGTCGAATTTTTTTTCTCATTTTAGTATATTAGAAAATCACATTTGGAATAACTTATATATGTGAATCTATTTTTGAACTATAAACTTTATGAACTCTAAATACAGATCATGTACTTCTGATGAGAATTTAGCATCTAAACTGAGATATAAGGATAAACTCTACAGAGGTCGCCAAAGATAATATCAAAAAAGGAGAAAATAGAATATTGATTAATCAACTTGCTATGTCTACAGTGTTTATATTGATTACACACCCAGATGATGAAAATTTTAATGTGTTGGAAGAAATGAAACATTATTTCTCTTTAGGTTTCTTTAGAATCCCTATAGAAAAAAAATGCAGCTTAGACATATGACTCGTGCATTATTTCCTTAGAGTCCACTCTTCTGGTCTAAGACACCATTGAATCCAAACAAGAACAGGTTATGAGGTTCTGGGGTAGCCTTAAAGGGTGCTCTGTGATCATTATCTGAACCCAAGCTGAAAGAACAGTCAGTCAAGTTCAACATTAATGATAGAGCATGTGCAGGTTAATGCTGAAGTTGGTCATGCTTGGGCCATGACAGGACCCATGTACTGCAAATGCAGCAGAGGTTTCTGTTTCAGGGACCTGAGAGGGAACTCATTTAATTGTGACTGTAAATTGAAGTGGCTGGTGGAATGGCTCGGCCACACCAATGCAACCGTGGAAGACATCTACTGCGAAGGCCCCCCGGAATATAAGAAACGCAAAATCAATAGCCTCTCCCCCAAGGATTTTGATTGTATCATTACAGGTAATGTATGGAAACCCATTTTATAGCAGAAAATTATTTTTAAAAAGGGTACGTTTTTGCAAATATAAAAATTGATTTTAATATGTATAGAACCATCTGAGAAATGTAATGTGTGAAACATTATGAACCTTTAAAACTTTACATGCTTTAAAAACAGTAGAATTGCCATTTTACTATTTCTCTGAAATAAATATATTTCTTGTGAGTGTTTGGGATCTAGCCAAGGAGCGAGGCATTAGTATTAGCTCACATTTATTCATCCTCCTCTCCTATTTTTTGCAGAATTTGCAAAATCCCAAGATCTACCTTATCAGTCACTGTCCATAGATACTTTTTCTTATATGAATGATGAATATGTGGTCATTGCTCAGCCTTTTACTGGAAAATGTATTTTCCTGGAATGGGACCATGTAGAGAAGACCTTCCGGAATTATGACAACATTACAGGTATGAAGAATCTAACAATATTGAGTAGAACATTAAACTGCTTTGACCAAGGGCAACAGAAATGGAAGAGTTTATAAGAAATGCTTTGACTGGTCTTAGTGGCATTAACCCCAACTTTCTACTAAGTGACTTGAGAGTGCCTGCTAAATTGTAGCTAATCCTTAATTCCTTTACTTAAATAAGAATAGTATCTGAATCACAGGGCTGTTAGTAAGGAAATGTGATCGTGTATTTAAGAAACTTAGCATAGTACTGAGCATACTAAATATACTCTAAAGGATTACTTTTCTTCAGAGTAAAAGCAATGAATCACAATGATGAGCTCTAACCTAGGTTCTGCCACTATTTAGCTAGACAAGTCCATTGCCTTAGCTTTAATCTCATTGTTCCTAACTTGAAAATAAGAAGGTAAAATAAATTGGGCTTGGTGGTGCTCATCTGGGATCCCAGCACTTAGAAGCTGAGGCAGGGGATCAACTGAGCCCAACCACATAGCAAAACCCTGTCCCTAAACAAACAAGACCCCACTAACAGAAGGATGCATGGCTGGGGAGAAGGCTCTCTGAGTGCTGTGCTGGCTGCACAAGCACAGAGAACTGAGTTTGGATCCCTAGCATCCTTGCAAAAACCTGCCATAGTGGCAAGTATCTGCCTGTAACTTCAGCTTTGGAGAGCTCAGACAGGCAGAGCCTGGGGGCTCACTAGCTAGCCAATCTGGCCAAATCAGTGAGCTTCAGGTTCAGTGAGAGACCCTATCTCAAAACAGTGGAGAAGCAATTGAGGAAGACACCAAACATTGACCCCTGAACTCTGCACAGCACACAAGGGTGAGTGCACCCCCAATACATATATGCATAAACACCACACACACACATTGGGTGGGGTGGGGGAGAACTTTTTTAAAATGAAAAAGAAAGTGAAAATGAACAGTTTCCTGTTTCTAGCCCTAAGAAAGAGTTTGTATGGCTGGGATCAGCACAAACACACGAATGAATACACACAGCACAAAAATATGGTTATCATAATTAAATCTGCTTGAATTTGGAGTAAGTGAATTAAATAAGAAGGCCCTCAAACTCTCAACTCTCAGACTCTGCTGCACATTTTAATAAAATGTTAATGCATTCCTTGAAACAAAAAGGGCTTTGTGGGCCAGTAAATCTGTAAGCCATATCTGCCTCTTGAAGGTTCATAATAAACATAGTAGATTATGAAAAATCCTGCAGTGTGGAAACCTATTGTCAATGTTTTTCTTAATTTGTTCATAGAGTCCATTTTTTATCCATGAGAACTGTTACTTGAGAGATTCTCTTAACTTTTGTTGCCATTTCAACAGTTTTTAAAATTGTAAGATATCAATCAACATAGTTCTGAAAGCTGTTCTTTTTTAACATCTTGACGATGAACTGGCAGGATGGCACGCTCTTGCCATCATTAGCTGGACAGGGTACCACACCATTGTAACCCTGGTACTTACTTGGGAGGCTGGAGCAGAGGGCTTATGAATTTAAGGCCAGCTTGGGATATACAGTGAGACTCTATCTCCAGCAAAGCAGGGTATAAGGTGTACCACTAGACAAGGTACAAAGAGTCACAGCCATTAATTAGATTTACCAGTGACCGTCAAACCTATCCATCATCAAATGTCCAAATAATCCTTGCTTGATTGTCGTGTCTGCTGCGCGGCCTGTGTCTGAGAACGTGCGGAGGGTGTCGGGGATTGACAACACAGAGACTCGTTCAACGATGTAAAGAAAACTTTAAGCAGGCTCCAAAAAGGTTCAAGAAAACTTCCTAAGAAAGGCTCCCACCAGAGAAGCTTCTGCTCTCTCCTCTACCCTGGCTGGTTCTGCCCTGACCCCAGAAACTGATCTGGGCGTGGCAGAAGAGGTGGTTAGTCTTTGGACAAGGTCGAGGTCAGGGTGGTTTCTGCGGGCAGGCCTTTTCCAGGAACTTAATGCCCCCAGGCATTGTATTGTTTTTAGTAAACATGTTTTTAGTAAACATTGTCTTACAGCTGCCTACTCCCAGGCAGAAGGGGAAGTGGGTCTCTGCTCAAGGTCTGGTGTTCCCACAATTCACCCCTTTTTATTTTTAAATGAGGCACTCCTGGCTTAGGTCAAGTAGGGTCACCCTCCCTTTCCCATCCTTGGGGGACCTTGAACCCCTGTCTTAGGCGGGAGGGGTCTTCCCCACAAGTTGCCCGGCATCAGAGCACCCCAACTTTAAATCATCTGTAACCAACCTTCATGGCTATCGGGATTGCCATGGGCTAGGCTAAGCAATACTTGGTTACCGATCTCTTGCCTCTGGAACAAAGCACGTTTGAGCCCGGCATAAAGCCAGAATGCCTACCGCCACTGCCACCATTTCCAGGACCCCCATTGACATAGCGCCTCTCCATCACCGTACCCATCACCAGATCTGGGCCATAACATTCTACCAGCCTTCGTCTGTTACAAGGGTAACCCACACGTGATTTACATTCTGTTACAAGGGTAACCCGCATGTGATTTACATTTACAATTTGATGAAGTTTACAATTGTTCCAAGATCTGCTCAGGAAAGCATTTAGAAAGTGCACTTACACAGATACATTAGGTACAATCATTGATGTTACACATGTAGCATTATGAAAAATATGAACAATAGGCTTGTTGCACTATCCACAGAGCACCAATTTGTTCCTGTGGTGATGCAGTTTGTTGATTTAACGTCAGCTGATTATGCGACTTGAGTCAAAGTCTCCTTTTTGTCACATTAGGACAAGTTGCATTTCTCCAGAAAAATACACTGGCCTAGGCACGATTCCAGAAACAGGAACCACCAAGTCTGATATTTCAAGTGACCATGTCCTGTTCAATTATTGAAAAGAGGCTTTTGCCCCTCATCACAGTCCATACCATTGTCCAAATGTTTTAAATGGGTCCTTTTTTCTCTATTGGCTTCACGATGAAAACTCATGGGTCCGGAAGGTTGATGCAGCAGGTCTGTTGAGAAACTGGAAATCTCGAACCGACTGTTTTCTTTCTTTCTTGGGCTCTAGATTCGATGACAGCAAGGGTCAGGAACACTGATTTAGGAGATCTCACTCAAACTGGCTTAGGTAGGCTCCCATGGTCTCAGGTCCAGTTTTTCTCTGCTCCATGCCGAAGCTTTTATTCTTTTCCTACAAGAAAACACAAACATGCCCTCAACCCCAAATTAGGGTCTTCTCCACTGTTTAGTGCATGGATGTCTCCATTTGACCTGAGCAATGGTTGTTCAAGTTCCATCATGCCAGAATCTGTCTGAAGCTCACTGGCATTCACATTATAAAATTTTTGAATGAGGAGTGTATTATTTGATGAGTCATGTGGGGACTGGGGACATTATTCCCCCTTTTTTATTTTCTAAAAAAAAATTTTTTTTGGAACTGTTGAAGCTGGACCATAATAGTAGAAGGATTTGTCTACCCTCCTTGGTTAACTATCTAGATAAATTGGGATTACTACTTAGATTATTTGTAGATGCCCATTAAAAAGGACATATCCATTAAATATTTCCCAAAAACTTCTGAAAATCACTCAAAGATTGTAAACTATACTGTGTCCAAATAACTTTTGAAAATTATTTGAAGTCTGTGAGCAGTCTTTCCCAATCTAACCTGTAGAGCTCTCACTAGCTGACAAGGCCTCATTTGCATCTTAAATTTTTCTGTTAAAACATTAACAGACTGGCTGGATGTTCCTTTTGGCTATATTTAAAGCAATCTAGGTAGCTTCTTAACTATTTTTGAAGGGATTTAAGTATCCTTTTAATCATATAAGCAGTTCACACTCACGCATTCACAATCACATTTCATACATACCGGTGTGGCTACACCATACATTCAGAACATGCATGCATCTTTCAGTCATCCTTTTTCCCTAGGTCATGATTAGTCTGTTGCAATGAAGCTTCCTTAATTGAAATCTATGTAAAAGAACAACTCCAGCCAATCCTTGAACTAAGAGGTTAAAAAGTCCTGTATGTTCTCTATCATTCCTCCATTTGAGCTACAGTCATGGGGTACAGCTGTACCTACTCCTTGTAACTCTGTAGATGCAAGGTGGAGAGGCCAAGCTTTTGGCCAAAAGTTTTTAGAGATGACTCACAAAATAGAACTTAAATGTAAACAAAATTTTCCATTCTATATACCTTTGTCTTTTTCTTTTTCTTTACTTAATACCAGTACCTTTTTACTGTTACAAATTTTTTGTTTCACCCATTTTTTTTTTAAATCAGGATTTTTCTGTATTGTTTGAGGCTGTCAGTCCAGCCTGGCCTCGAACTCACAGAGATACGCCTGCCTCTGCCTCCCCAAGTGTTGGGATTAAAGGCGTGTGCCACCACCGCCCAGCTTGTTACCAATTTTTTTTTTTCTGTATTATTTGGAGGCTGTCTTGGAACTTGCTCTATAAACCAGGCTGGCCTTGAACTCAAGAGATCTGCCTGCCTGTGTCTCCCGAGTACTGGGATTAAAGGCGTGTGCTGCCAACGCCCGGCTATTCACCCATTTTCAATCCAACTTTCAACCCAGGATGTTCCCTCATAAAGGCGTGTTGGGATTAAAGGCGTATGCCGCTGGTATTAAAGGCATATGCCGCTGGTATTAAAGGCGTATGCCGCTGGTATTAAAGGCGTATGCCGCTGGCAATCTCTTGGATTCCCCTACTTTCTGACCCTGGTATCAGGCTTAGGAGGGGGAAACTCAGAATGTCTAGTTTCTGACTTTTCAATCTCATTGGCGGCAGCCGCTCCCAATGTATTATTGGTGTTATAAAATTTGATGAACAGGGAGCTGGAATGACTAACTGGCATCAACATGGGGGGGAATACTCACCAACGCCCATATTTCCCTTACCTGAGTGTTCAGCAATGGTTGGATTATCTTTATCATGGTGAGCATTCCTAGTATCCGGAGTAGTATTGGAGTCGACATGCCTGATGCACCGTTCGGGGACCCAAATGGGCTTCTCACTTCCTGGAGGGAAAACACAAACAGCCCCTCGGACCCTAGCTAATAGGGGGGGGTGGGTGGCTGCCATTTTCCTGTAATTAAGTCCTTCCATCTGACCCATCCCAAGGACTGGGAGGGTTTGTTCCAATGTCTCTCCATAGCAGACAAATTATTACGGTCTATGGTCAAAAAATTTAAAATGTAAAGTATGGTGGATAACTGAATATTGGGGGAGGTAACATACTCCCCCTTTTTTATTTTCTTAAAATACTGTTTGAGAGTGGCATGGGTGCACTCCACAATAGCCTGTCCCGTGGGGTTGTGAGGAATACCAAAAGAATGGACAATGTGATGTTCCCTGCAAAAGGCAGCAAAGCGATTGCTGGCATAAGCAGGGCCATTGTCCGTTTTTAGGGCATCAGGAACGCTCATGTAGGCAAAGGCCTGCAGGCAATGAGAAATAACATCTTTAATCTTCTCTCCTGAATGGAGAGAGGCAAAAATCAGTTTAGAATATGTATCCACCGAGACATGCATGTATTTTAATTTCCCTGCCTGCGGCAGGTGAGTGACATCCATTTGCCAGAGATGGCAAATAATCCTTGCTTGATACTGAGGTGAACTGATCTATCCAAACTGAGATTCTTCTAGAACCCCCCTTTTTCTCCAAGAAAGGTCATAGTTCTCTTTCTTCCTGAGTTTCCCAATGTGGAGCAGCTGGGCTCTTTGCTATCTAACCTAAGGCCTTCTGATGAATACACACTCCATCAGCCACTGTTTAATTAAGGAGCTTGCTGCGTCATCAAGGCTGGCCTTGAACCAACAATCTCCTGCTTCAGCCCAAGTGTTAGGATTACATACACAAGCCACTGTGTTCAGCTTGCTCTGGATGACACTGTAGACTAGAAGGAATGACTCACCTGCTCATAGGTTTTGTTTTAGATGACAGTTTAGTTTGTTTCTGCTACTGTAATGAAATACCTTAGGCTGAGTAATTCATAAACAACAGAAATGTATTTCTTACAGATTTGGGAGCTGGGAAGCCCAACAGATTCAGTGTCTTGTAAGAACTTGCTTTCTACTTCAAAGACAGCCCCTTTTCTATGGATGCACAGAGCAAAAGGAAGGACAAAAAAACGTTAAAATGACTCAAGGCCTTTTCTGAGGGCCCCATTGCTGTGATTTAATTACCTCCTAGAGGCATCAGCTCTTCAGACTGTTGCATCGAGGGTTATATTTCCACATGGATTTGGAGATTTACACATTTTCAAGCACACAGATCATAAATAACACATCATTATGATTGCTAGTCTCTCCATCATGGACAGACATCACTGCCCACCTGTAATGTTATTTCTTGCAGAATACATATGTAGCACAGAATCCTTCTCAACACATGCTCATCAAACAGTCACAATAACTCAGTCTCCATGGGTACCTAAGATGAAATCCGATGGCCATCCCTAACACACTCTAATCCTTATTGTGCAGAAGAGAAAACTTGAAAGAAGTCTCAAGTACGGGCAGAGGTGATAGCTTAGTTGGTAACATGTTTGTTATGTGAGTGTGAGAATCTGAGTCTGATTCCCAGAAGCCATAAAAAAAAAACAAATTAAACCAAAACAAACAAACAGCAACAACGAGAAAAACAAACCCTGGGCATGGTGGTGTGCACTCATAAGCCCAGCATTGAGGAGGCAGAAATAGGAGGATCCCTGTGGCTATAGGCCAGTCGACTTAAACCAATTAGGGCACTCCAGGTCCCAGTGAGAGACCCAACTTCCAAAACCAAGATGGCAACAGTTGAAGAATGATATTTGAGGTTGACCTCTGACCTCCACATGCACACATACACACACACACTCACGAGTGTGCACGTGTGCCTTGTTTTTTTTTTTTCCAATTATTAGAGGGACTCTTTCCCTCAATACCCTAGAGCTATAGCAGAAAAGTCTAGGGTAGAGATTTGTGATGTAGGTGTTTGGGTCTCCAAGTCTGAACTCTTTCTATGAGACTGTATTTATAAAAGTTGCTAACAGACACCAGCATAGGCCACTGATAGACCTTTATTTTCATCTGAGGTTTCCACTAAAGAACTTTAAGGAATGTCAACCCATGGCAATACCTGCTCCTCTTTTACTTTTCACAAAGCTTCCTCTGCCTTTTTATTTTCCTCTACAGCCAGTGTCCTAAAGTTCCAGGTCAACCTTGTCTACACAGTAAATACTTCCAGACCAACCAGGGCTACATAGTGAGACCTTGTCTAAATAAATACTTAGCCCAAAGACTCAGATAGATCCATGTTTGAATCCCTAGCTCTGTCATTTGGAGTCAGAATTTAGCCCCTCTGAGTCTGGAAGAGTTTGTTCATCTAGAAAAAGAAAGATGAACAGGCATGGTGGTGCACACTTTTAGTCTTAGCATTTGGAAGGCAGAAATAGGAGATATGTGAGTTTGAGTTTGAGGCCAGCCTGGACACAAAATAGCAAAACTCTGTTGCCAAAGAACAGATACACAAAAACAAAGATAAGAAAGGGGAACACATTTATCTCAAGGTTGTTGGAGTAACTTAATGATGTGACAAAGCATATAGTGAATGTTCAGAAATGAGCACTTTGAATTACAATTGGGGGAATTAAATCATGTATGTCAGGGAAAACAATACTTAATACAAGGAGTGAGAGGAATGAGCTCAGGTCATATCTCTGTGCCTTAAAGATCTAGAGCAGGTTGAAGGTGAGATGGCAACTTCATTGTTTATGACAAGGCCCACGGGTGTAAAGGCTCAGAACCTGAGGACATTTGGCCTTGGGGATTGGTCCTGCCTAGTAGACCAAGGGAGTCTCTCCTTTAGACTGATTTCTGTGGAAGTTGTATAGCCCTAGCCTGTGTGTTTACATGTTCCAAAGTGGATGGCCATACAACTAACAGCTCCCTTGTTTTCCTCAGGCACGTCCACTGTGGTGTGCAAGCCTATAGTCATTGACACTCAGCTCTATGTCATTGTGGCCCAGCTGTTTGGTGGCTCTCATATCTATAAGCGAGATGGCTTTGCAAACAAATTCATAAAAATCCAGGATATTGAAGTTCTCAAAATCCGAAAACCCAATGACATCGAAACCTTCAAGATTGAAAACGACTGGTACTTTGTGGTTGCTGACAGTTCCAAAGCTGGGTTTACTACCATTTACAAATGGAATGGAAATGGATTCTACTCCCACCAATCCTTACACGCCTGGTACAGAGATACTGATGTGGAATACCTCGAAATAGCCAGAACACCACTGACGCTCAGAACACCTCACTTAATCCTGTCCAGTAGTTCCCAGCGCCCTGTGATTTACCAGTGGAGCAAAGCAACACAGTTATTTATTAACCAAACTGACATTCCCAACATGGAGGACGTGTACGCTGTGAAACACTTCTCTGTAAAAGGCGATGTGTACATTTGCTTGACCAGATTCATTGGCGACTCCAAAGTCATGAAGTGGGGTGGCTCTTCCTTCCAGGACATTCAGAGGATGCCGTCGCGGGGATCCATGGTGTTCCAGCCCCTTCAGATAAATAATTACCAATATGCAATTCTTGGAAGTGATTACTCCTTTACTCAAGTATATAACTGGGACGCAGAGAAAGCCAAATTTGTGAAATTTCAGGAATTAAATGTTCAAGCACCCAGATCATTTACACATGTGTCCATTAATAAGCGTAATTTCCTTTTTGCTTCTAGTTTTAAGGGGAACACACAGATTTACAAACATGTCATAGTTGACTTAAGCGCATGAGACACCAAATTCCATGGCTGCCATCGGAAACTTTCTACAGTATGTGACCTGGATGAACTCAATGCATGATGACTCTTCTTATCACACTTGCAGATGAATGCCTTTCAACATTGAGACTGTCGAAGTCAATACTACCAGTATCACCATCCTTAACTGTCCAATCCAGTGGTGTGGGAAGTTACCTTTTATAAGACAAAGTTTCATTATATAACTGTTCTTTGCAGTGAAGATGTGTACATAAGTGTTTAATGGTATCTGTTACTCCGAAAAAGAAATATTCATATGTACTTTTCCATTTATTTATTCACGTGTTCAGAAACAACTGCCAAATAAAATGTTTACATTTTCTTTCATATCCCAAAGGTAATTATTTACAAGAGCTGTTTGATTCTTGTTGATTGTATGTTGAAGAAATAGTTTTATATAATAGGATTATATTTGGATCAAGGATTTATGGTATGACTATTGAGTAAAGTTAAAAAAAAGAAATGATTTCCCATAATTTGTAAACATGTTTATCTGGGTTCTATTAGTGGATTTTGAACACTCAGAGTCATGACTACTAGGGACACTTTGAGATAAAAAGGGTAACACGTTTAAATGAAAGGGAGAGAGCTTACCTATTATGCTAAGACTAACCTGTAATGAGGAGGAAGGCCATCCTGTCCCATCTGATAGACTCAGCTACAAATACCATTCAGCCATTTTATAGAAGAATTTAAGATTTAGGATTGAATAGTCCCTGATCCAGGACTTTCTAAATATCTAACTCTAGAGCCGCCTGACAGCTGGTAGATTGTAACTTCATGAACAGCACTTGCCTCCCACGCTGGCTCTGGAGGCCTCTCTCCGATGAAGAACTCTTATGCTTCTAGACACTGGATTTGCTGTAACTGACCTGCCACACAGTGCCTACGAGGCTCATGTCTGACTTTCTAGATTCCTGCTTCCAGATCACTTGAGTCATTAGTACTTTGCACACTGCCTGTTATGTACATAGTAGACTTTCAAAAAATGTTTGTCAAAGGCTGGGGATATAGTTTCATGGAAACATACTTGTGTGGCATGTGTCAAGCCCTGGGTTCAATGCCCAGCACCAAACAAAAGTGTTTTTGAAAACATGTGTGGCTTCTTCCCTTACAGTAACCTCCACAAGCCCCTCTGGCCCACCTAGTGTTTCCTGAGTACTTGTTGAGAATGTAGTGTGGTGGTGGGGAACTAATGTAGGAGTGGGGTGTGATGCTTGCCCTCTGCAGTCTTAGAGGAAGGATGGAAGTGGGCTAAAAGTACAAGAAGGTCTATAGAGTAAGCAATGAGTGTGGAGAGTCACCGAACAGTCTAGATTTGGAGAGTCATAGGAGTAGCAGCTGTGGCTCTGGAGAAGCTATGCTCTTTGTTTGACATACGGGAAGACACAATTTCAAAAGGGGGTTGTGTGGGAGAAGACATGGCTAGCACAAACTGGTTGTGTGCGCTGCCTTTATGGAGGACTTTTGAGTTTGCTTATGTTCCCCCACTGGGTGGAGGTGGGCAGACAGCAGCTCCCCAGGCCTAGTGTAAGTGTGGTAGACTGAGGCATCAGGGGTCCCCATAAAAATGACATGGGCTGGAGAGATGTCTTAGCCGTTAAAGGCTATGCTCACAACCAAAAATGACACAGTCTCCACAGAAGTTTGCAACACCTTGGATCATTGTTCATAAGGACCAGATTTTATTACCTGTATATAAAAGATATTAGGTCTAGCTTCAGGGTTAGAGGAGAGAAGAAAGCTTAACTACTCCTGATCCTGCACCTAGGAGACGTGGCCTTGGAACCCCTCTTTCTCTGCTCCAATAAGCAGCTCATGGGTTGCTGGTGGAGGCCTGCTCTGGACAGGCTGGGTAGAACTCCAGGTCCTCCATGCATAAGCTTTACCACAGGCAAGGTACTTAGCCCACCTGAGCCCACTTCTTTGTTTGTAAAGGTGGACAACAATACCTACTACCAAGGAGGAGAGTTAAATGAGAAGACTCAAGAGTACCAGATGGTATTTCCCAAATATAGCCCCCACCACACCCCACAGCCCCATGCTCTGTGAGACCCTCCCTGCCCCAAATTCATTAAGAGGTTAGCGTCTGACTCACTTGTCCTTTGTCTGAATGGTTGGTGACTTGCTTGTAATTCATTGACTACGGTGAAAATGATACAGTTTGGCTTCCATGCTAGGTCATAAACCCCATGAACTCTTTCTTGCCTTGCAAACTGGGACACCTTGCCTGCAGAGCCCCAAACAGCTGCATAAGAAGTCTTATTAACCAGAGGCCATTGTTCTGTGTTGAAAACCAAACCGCATGGAGCAATCACCTCATGGTGCTTTGGTCAACAGACCCAGCTGGTGTCACAGCCAACAGCCATCATCAGCCACCAGTCCTGGGAAGCCTGCAACTCCAGATCCTTCTGTCAAGTTACTATCGGACATCAGACCTTCCCAGCAGAAGGGCAGCCATTAGAAAGCATCAAGCTATCCACAATATCCCTGTCTGAATCCGTGAGCATAATAAAGTGATTGTTTGAAACGGACATGCTTGGGGTGATTTGTCATGAGAAGGTGCACAAAACACTTGGAGCACAGTGGCCTGTATAAACACGCTCTACATGGTAGTCACCTGTCTGGCTCCACTCCCGTCCCGCACATTGAACACTTTTGGATCACACTCTATCTTTTAAAGGGTGGTCATTTTTATCAATACTGTTTCAGTGCTCTTACCTTGTTCCGAGCATAGTTCCAGGATGCGGAAACTAAGCATCAACAGTCTCCTGACTGTGCAGTGTTAGTAATTCACCTTCAAGCCTGACCATGGAGCTGGGAGGTGAGCTGGGTGAATTCAGACTGTCATCCAGGCCTGTCTACTTTCTGTCGCAAGGTGTTCTTTCAAAAAGTCACTCTGTCACTCTCTAACCTGAATACTGTTGACAGGGCAAGAAAGAGTGGGGAGATGGAGAAAATAAATTTAAGACCCTCCTGAGGTAGGGCCTACTTTCACAGACATTGGCCAGCCTTTTATATGTCCCTCACCTACAATATCCTATACAACTTGTACAACCCTCTCTGACCACAGGTGACAGGATCTGGGTGCACTCCCGGTCCAGGTATGAGGCCCAGTCAATTATCTCTCTTGAACATTTGGAACCAGGACTACAGAGGCTGGGACTTTAAGCACAGGCACCAGATATGCAAGATGATAGTTTTAAATCAGGGGTTTTAGAAGCAGAGTGCTTTCCCGAGGTGGGTTGAGAGGAGCAATACAGAGCAGAGGAGGATGTTGGGCAAAGATAGTTGCCTGGCCTCAGCCTATCCCAATGGGTACTCATCCCATGGGTACTCAAGAGAGTGAAGTGCACCACTAGCATAAGGGTGCAAGGTATCACTTCTCAGGCAACTTTAGAAGAGGTTTCGGCCAATTAAGGATACTCCTCTAGAGAATGGTACCCATGAGCTGTCATTGATCATTGACTCCAGTGTCTGTGGAATGAGTGCGTGGACTGGGAATGTGAGTCAGGGTGGGGTATCAGGAGTTTATACCACCATGACAGGGACCAAGGGGTTGAAGTCACCATTTCTGAGCAGTTGTGGTGGCCAATGCACCATGATGCTGGTCTGAAGAATAAGAAGAGAAACAGGTGTACTGGAAAGAGCAGAGAAAGGGGGGAAGAGAAAAAGAAAGGGTGAGAAAAAGAAAAGAAAGGGAGGGCAGAAGGAAGAGATCACAAAGGAAAGAGAGTCAGGCAGGGAGGGACAGCAACAGAGAGATGAGGAGGTGTGGTGTACCAGGGTAGACTCCCTGTCAACCAAACTGTAAGACTGTTGTGGGAGCATTTTTTTAGGGTGAATTCATGAAGTCAACATCTAGGAAGGAGGGAATGGAAGCAGGATTAGGTAGAGGGGCCGGATGTCAGCAAAAGCCTCTGATGACTCCGTCTTGAACTCTGGGACTGAGATGTGTCTTCTGAGTGGTCCAAGCTGGGGCAAGAGGACCACTTTAAAGATGCACATTCTCCTTAGATTTGGAAGGTAGCTATTCCTGAAAGGAAGCATGGGCTCAGGTAAGGCTTTTGCTTAGCCAAAGCCAACTGCAAAGACACCAACTGCAAAGCCCATCTTCTCTCCGCACTCCTTGAAGCTAGACAAATAAGTCCTATATTCCTGAATGGGCCTCTTGGTAGCTCAACATGTCACCCCAGAGGGGAGAGAGGGAGAAGGAAGGCAGCTAGTCCATGTTTGTTCCCTGCACCACACCTCAAGAGGTCTGGTTGTGCTGTCTGATCCCAATTATCTGAGATACTTCCCCAAACACACACATACATACATACATACGTACACACACTCACTCACACACACACTTTTTATTTGGGTCAATATTGTTATCAGTTATCCCCAACTAAGAGAATGTGCGGGCGAAACTTGCTGTGACAGAGATGAGATACCAGATAGAAAAAAAAAAATCCCAGATAGTTTCGTCTCTCTCTGCAATTCAAACTACATCTTTTCTATTACTGTCTTCGATTTCATTGAGTCCTCTTGTGAAATTAATTTAAAAATTATTATTTCAACCAGAACATAACTTTTCAACTTTTAAAGCGAAATTTCAATGTATCAAAATGTTTTGGATCATGAAAATTAAAAGACTTCTGATGTATTTTGGACCCACTGATTTGTAATTATATTGTAAATCAATAATGTTTGCAATTAAAATTAATCTCAATTTCTGGGGAAATGATCATATGCTTAATTGTTGTGACAATACCTCAGATTTTGTTAACCTCAGCTCACACTGATGCTAAACCCTTCTTGTCTGGCATTGGTCCTACAAACTCATCTGTAGGAACGCAGCACTAGCTAATTACAGTTCAACTCACTCAGCATAGCTATTATCATAATATGTCAATCCTGATGGGCACAGGGAAGGCATTTTAATGTGATTGATACCTATGACATCTGGCCTCTTAGAGATGCCACGATTTGGAGTCCTAAAATGATGCTTATCCTCCTACCCCAACATTCTTCGTGATTTATACACTTCTACTTTCCGGTACCCAATCACAGAAGCACTTCATGATTCTGTGCCCAGGCTACTCAGCCACCTACAGCACTCTTTCCCCGTCTTTCCTACATTTTGGAACCTCTGCCCACATCTAACCCATTACCATTACGTGGATTTCTCCCTCTTCTGGCTCTGCCAACCCATTGCTTTTACTACAAATAAGGGTCATAATTCAGTCTGCCTTGCATGTGGTTAGTTGCTGATGCAGCCATCTTTTCTAGCAGACTTTGCATCCCTGAGGGTCAAGACTGCATCCCAGGCTCCTGTAACCCTTCCATTTCATTCTACCTGAAGCTCCAGCTTGTAAAACAGCGCTACCTACTAGGGGGAAAACAAGTTGGCATTCCTGTTTGAACGTCTCAGGAGCAGCTTCCTACTTTCCTGTTAGTTCTCGGCCCCACAGAGACTCCTGCCCACCGATTACCCACAAGTCAAGAGCAAAGGGGCAGGAAAGTTGACAGCAGTGTTTTCTAAACATCTATATCCTTTGACATGGTCATCCTGGAGAGAAGCGCAGACCCACAACCAACTAGTCAGTGGGAACCAGGGAGCTTCCTCCCATGCTGAGGACCTAAACGCCAACCTCAGAAAAACTGTCCCTCAGGCACTGGGACCTTTATCCTTCATGTCCTTTGCCCTGTATTTCTGTATTTACTTAACAGTTATAAATAAAACACCCATAGCATCGGATGCATCCTTTAATATTTTAAATAACACAGGTGTTGCCAGGTGGTGGTGGTGCATGCCTTTAGTCCCAGCACTCAGAAGGCAGAGTCAGGCTGATCGCTGTGAGTTCGAGACCAGCCTGGTCTACAAGAGCTAGTTCCAGGACAGCCTCCAAAGCCACAGAGAAACCCTGTCTCAAACTCCCCCCTCCCCAAACCAAAAAATATCGCAAGTGATGCTTACTAGGTACTGACTACTAGCCAGCTTCTTCTGTATCATTCCTTCCTCTAATTCTAGGATTATAGATAGCATTGTTCCACAGATGGGAAAGCATCTAGAAAGGCTAGATAACTTGCTCGTGGTCATTTTTGCTGGTTAAGCAACAAAGAAAGGCTCCCTTGGATGGTATCTATCATTGGTAACATTCCAGGAACTGCCCAAGGACAAAATCTGAATTAAAAACTCGGGGCTCTGTAAACTGCCAGAGACACAGGCACACACTCAGGAACCTGTCCCAGGTAACACATTGGTAAGTTCCACACTTAAGGATACAGAAAGTTCAATTTTATTGAGGACGTTTATTAAACACCTACTATGTGCAGCACACTGTGGTAGATGGCACAATGAAAATAATCTGAGAGAAGTTATCTATCCTTAAAGGGTTTATTAACCTTATTCATAAAGGTTGTTTATAAAAAGCCAGCATGCAGATCATGGGCAAATACGGCAGAAATAAGGCCTTTAAGAGTCGGACAGCAATAACAACCTTGTCTTGTAGGGGTTCTTTGGTCTATAGACCAATATTGCTGCTACCCCCAACATTCCTCTTTCTGGGTCAATAGGTGTAGTGGTGACACATGTTTTACAGTTAGGAAAACCTGGGTTTGTATTGCAGTGTGGCTTTTTACTAGTTTTATGATCATAGACAAGTTAATTCATGTTCTATAAATTATGAATAATGCTAATTATAGGGAAGGTTGGAAGATTAAATCTAAGCTGCTGAATAACTCTACTAGATAGCCATACTTATTTTTACTCTTTTTTAATTTAAATTAGAAACAAGTTTGCTTCACTTGTCAATCCCAACTCCTTCTCCCTCCCCTCATCCCCCACCATTCCCCACCAGGTCCCTGAGCCCCCACCCAATCCCTACTCTGTTCCCCAGGGAGGGTGAGGCCCTCCATGGGGGATCTTCAGAGTCTGTCATTTCATTCAGGGCAGAGCCTAGGCCCTCCCCCAAGAGTCCAGGCTGAGAGAACATCCTTCATTGTGGGATGGGCAGACAAAGCCCATTTAAAGCCAGGGATAAATGGCCATACTTTTTACAATGTATCTATGTATTTTAAAATTCACATTCTCTCTCTCTGTCTCTCTGTCTCTCTGTCTCTCTGTCTCTCACTCTCTCTCTCTCTCTCTCTCTCTCTCTCTCTGTGTGTGTGTGTGTGTGTGTGTGTGTGTGTGTGGTGCATTTGTGGAGGTCAGAAGACAGCCTGTAGGAGACACTCTCCTTTTACTAAGTGGGTCCTAAAGATCAAATTCAGGTCATTGGACTTGGCAGCAGGAACCTGTATCTACTAAACTCGTTTCCTGCCTCTTTTTGTTTTTTTTTGAGTGTGTGTATGTGTGGTGGTGTGAGTGTGAGAGAGTACATGTGTGAGAAAACCACAGAACATGGTGGAGTCCAGAGGAACAACTTTGAGTAGGACATGCATTGAACCATTCCAGTTTGTTCTCAAGGCTCGTACTGGGTAACTGACCAGCAATACCCTGCTGTATAGGGGCTATAATCAAGAAGGTAAGTGAAGACTTCTA